TGTGAGGTTTAAGGGAAAGGAGAGAGAAAGATCTAGGGGAAGGAAACAAAAACCTACCACTCTGAGGAAGACTGACAGCAGAAAAAAGCCCTCAAATTCATATGGATAGAGAGGAAGAAACGTATCACTGATCCCCAGATCCAACTGTGAGGCTACCCTCACACACAAAGGTCTCGGTCTCCCCTAAGGCTGCACCACGTGGGTCCTTTGGTGTCTGGTGTGGTTAGATCTCTGGCTGAAAGCCTTCCTGCACTGGAGACAGCGGTAGGGCTTCTCTCCAGTGTGGGTTCGCTGGTGGCAAGGAGTTTGGCGCTCTCTCCAAAGCCACGTGCACATTGGCCACATCAGTAGCGCCGGTCTGCACCCCGCGTCCGCCTGTGCTGATCGAGAGCAGCCTGCTGCCTGAACTGCTTCCCACACGTCCCACATTCGGATGGCTCGTGGACCCCCTGTACCCCAGCCTCCTGAGCTGCCAGATGCGTGGCCTGATGGTGCCTGGTCAACCTCCAGGCCTCCCGAAAGCTCTCCTGGCACCCCGGGCAGGCAAATGGCCATTCCCTGGAGTGCACCTGCGGTGGGTAACCAGGTGCACGTGCTGATGAAAGCCGCGGCCACACTGCGCATACAGAGGTGGCTTTTCATCTAAGTGGATCTTTCTGTGCTGGATCAGGGAGGAGCTCTGGGGGAAGCGCTTCCCACACTGGACACAGCTGTAAGGCCACTCCCCTGTATGGGTGCGCTGGTGCTGGAGGATCTTCACTGGCTAGGAAGCTCTTCCCGCACCCAGAGCAGATGAACTTGGCAGCCGCAGACGCCTGTGGTGCACCACCCAGGGTGAACTTGGAATCTGACTCTGCAGGAGTCCCTGATGCAGCGGGAATGCAGGGGATGGGGTGAGTGGAGCAGGAATGAGGGAAGGCAGATGAACACCGGAGAGAGAAAACGGGGGCTTAAGAGAAGGTGAAAAGATGGGGTGAGGTGAGGAATCTGGGGAAAGATGTGCAAGATGAGAGGTTGGAGACTGAGTGGGGTGGGAGGCAGAACCCATCAGCGCGGGGGAGGGGTAGCATAAAACAAGGGAGGGGAGAGCAGAAGTATGAATAGGAAGAGAGGGAGAAGGAAGAAGGATCTGGGGCGTCTGCTGGGGTGGGGCCAGGGGAGGGCTGGTGCACATGGAGCCTTGAGGTGGTGCCTGGGGCTTGTGCTTGCTACAGAGGTTGAAGTTCTCCCCACACTCCCCACACATATAAGGCTTTTCCCCTGTGTGCAGGTGGATGTGTTGGGTCAGGGAGGTCTTCTGATTAAAGCCGTCACTGCAGTTGGAGCAGCAGAAGGGACGCTCATCTATGTGAATTCTCTGATGACGTGTCAGCTTTGACCGATCCCCAAAAGACTTCTTGCACTGGGGACAGACATAGGGCTTCAGACCAGTGTGCACTCTGTGGTGAACCAGCAGCAGAGAGGTGACTGTAAAGCCCTTGCCATACTCCCCACAGATTTATGGTTTCTCCCCAGAGTGGATTTGCTGGTGCTTAATAAGGTTGGAGCTACCACAGAAGGTCTTGTCACACTAGGGACAGTGATAAAGCCTCTTGCCAGTGTGGACCCTTCTGTGCTGGATGAAGGGCACGCTTTGAGCGAAACTTTTCCCGCAGGCCCCGCACTTGGAGGGCTTGTTTCCGTGGTAGATCTGCTGGTGCTGAAGCAGGTTGGAACTTTGGCTGAAACATTTTCCATAGTCAGGACAGGGGTAAGGCTTCTCACCAGCATGACTTTGAAGATGACGGGTGAGAGAGTAACTGTGCTGGAAGCTCTTGCCACAATCAGTGCAGCTGTAGAGTCTCTCACCTGGCACTGGCTTCCTGTGGCCAGTGAGCTCACAGTCTGGGAGTGGCACCCAGTCCCCAATCCTCGAGGGATTGTCTTGAGAATTCTCTAATTTAAGATTCTGGGCAATGTCATCTGAAAGTGTTTCTTGAGACTCTTTGAGTCCAGAAATAGATGACACTGTTCTTGGGCATATCCCTTGACGTTCTCCATCACTGGGCCCTTCCTCTTGAATAAGTTTGTCCTCATTGCTGTTCCCAGTTCCTGTTGGAGAAAATGGAGATTTCAGACTCCTGCACCATAATTCTCTCCAGAGAGGGAGAGTGAACCACTGAAGGCTGTTTTACTACAAAACTGAGAAGGAGACTTTGCATTCAGAATCATATAATTAAAGCTTCTTGACAGTAAGGTTTATTTTAGAATTTATTTTATAAATTTTTATGAGGTTATAAGATTTTTAGCAGTCTTGGACACTGTCATCTTTATCCTGAAGAAAGTACAGCAAGGAAAGATCATTCACATTAGCCTGGAACATTCCAACACAAACCATCAAAAAGAATCAACTTCAAGGGCTGGCCTGTGGCTCACTCGGGAGAGTGCGGTCCTGATAACACCACGGCCACAGGTTCGGCTCTTATATAGGGATGGCCGGTTTGCTCCCAGGCTGAGCGTGGTGCTGACAACCCCAAGTCAAGGGTTAAGATCTCCTTACCGGTCATCTTAAAAAAAAAAAAAAAACCCAAAAAAGAATCAACTTCAAGGGCTGGCCTGTGGCTCACTCGGGAGAGTGCGGGGCTGATAACACCAAGGCCACAGGTTCGGATCTTATATAGGGATGGCCGGTTTGCTCCCAGGCTGAGCGTGGTGCTGACAACCCCAAGTCAAGGGTTAAGATCTCCTTACCGGTCATCTTAAAAAAAAAAAAAAAAACCCAAAAAAGAATCAACTTCAGAAAGACATTATTGTTTCTTTGATTAAGGTTATTAATAAAAGGAAGCCACTCGGGCCAAGAAGATAGTCAAGCAATTTGTCACAAACCAGGTTTGAAAGTCTAACTTTTAAAAATAGAATATAGATAAATTTGTAATTTAAAAGCTCTATAGCCAAAAAATAAAACAAAACTAAATCTCTATGATCAAAACTAAATCTCAAATTATATAAGAGTAGAGTTTACAATGAGACTAGTAAGTATTCCAGTGGCTTATACGTAAGTATGCTAATTATCTAAGAGTAGAGTTTACAATGAGACTAGTAAGTATTCCAGTGGCTTATACGTAAGTATGCTAACTTTATTTATTTTTAGGCCGAGTAAGCCTATCATCTGGGGGACAGATGCTTCTGGCTACTCTAAACCCCAGGACTAAATCTTTGGCCCTCATCTCACTCTCTGGGCTCCCCCTTCACCTCACAGCTCTACTGAGAGCTGGCCCTTATCACAGGCCCTGAGCTCCCACCTGTGCTCCAAGCCTGCGACTCATGCTGCCACCCAGATATTTCCCCCTTAATGACTTGCCATCACCTGAAATTTAATATCCCTTGGCCAGAAAAATTGCTGACTCCTAGTTCCACTTTTCTTTGTCCCTGACACCAGTTTTCATTCTCTTGGACATCTAAGCTTTAAATGGTGGAACTTCTTTTGATCCATCCCTCTCTTTCCTTTGCTAGGAGTAAGCCACCATTTAAAAGTAATGTGCTTATTGATATTCAATGCAGTACCCCACAGATATGTACGATCAATTATGTTTCAATAAAAAAATGAAAAGCAAAGGTAATGAGCTATCATCAGTCACCAAGGAAATGCAAATTAAAACCACACCAAGTGCCAGTACACACCAACTAGAATGGCTAACGTTAAACCAAATGTTGTCAGGATGTGGAGCAACTGGAACTCTCACACATTGCTGGTGAAATATAAAATGTTCAGGCCATTTTTTTTTTTTTTTTTGGTGGCTGGTAGGTATGGGGATCCGAATCCTGGTTGGGCCATTTTGGAAAACAGTTTCACAGTTTGTTAATAGTAAATTCAATGTACACTTACCACATGACTTAACAATTCTACTCTTAGGTATTCACCCAAGAAAAGTGAAAACATGTATCTACACAAAACCTTTTTACAAATGTGTATAGAAGCTTTATTATTTATTCATAATAGGCATAAGCTGGAAACAATCCAAATGTTTATCAATGGGTGAAGGAATAAACCCATTGTGGGATAACCATTGTCTTAGTTTTCTATAGCGATAACAGAATACCGGAAACTGGGTAATTTATTAAGAAATGAAATGTACTGCTTACAATAAATAAGAAGTTCAAGGTCCAGGGAAGACCTTCTTGGTAGGTACTCTGCAGAGTCCTGAGGTGGTATAGGGCATCACACAGTAAGGGTGGCAGAGTGTGCTAACTTGCTTTCCTTATAAAGCTACCAGTCTACTGCCATGGTATCCCCTTACTGTAAGAATGGATTAATCCATTCATGAGGACATAGCCCTGTGATCCAATCACCTCTTAAAGGTCCCACCCTTCAAATACCATAGTCTATTTCCCACCCTCTTAATACTGTTACAATGGGGATGAAGTTTCAATATGAGTTTTGGGGGGATATTCAAACTATAGCACCTGTTTTAGTCAGTTTTGTGTTGCTATAACAGAATTACCTGAGACTGGGTAATTTATAAAGAAGAGAGGTTTATTTGGCTTACTATTCTGGGACAGCTGCATCTGGCATGGGCCTCAGGCTGCTTCTATTTGTGGCGGAAAGTGGCAGGCAGCCAGTGGGTACAAGCAGGTCACATGGCGAGAGGAAGCAAGAGAGAGGAAGCAAGTGAGAGAGAAGGTGCCAGCGTCTTTTAAACAACAAGCTCTCGTGGGAACTAATAGAGCGAGAAATCACTCATTACTCCCCCCACCCTGAGGGAGAGCATTAATCCATCTATGAGGGATCCACCCCCAGGACTCAGTCAGTTTCCAACACTGCCACATTGGAGATTAAATTTCTACATGAGTTTTGGAGGGGACAACACATCCAAACTCCATCAGCACCCATGTAATGGAATACTACTCAGCAACAAAAAGGAACAACTATTGTTACGTGCAACAAATGGATAAATCTAAAGGTTATGTTAGACCAGAGAAGCCAGACACCAAAGAGTACATATTGTATGATTCCATTTATATGAAATTCTACAATAGGCAAAACTAATTTATAGAGGCAGAAAGCAGATCAATAGTTATCTGGGGTTGGGTGGGGGAGGGAGCAGTTGACTGAAAAGGGGCATGAAAGACCTTTGAGGGGTGACGGAAATGTTCTGTATCTTGAGTGTGATGGTGGTTACACCAGTATATACATCCATCAAAAATCATCAAACTATATGCTTAAAACGGGTGAATTTCACATGTAACTTATACTTCAATAAAGCTGTCAGCACACATATGCTAACTTTTCTAAGATGTAAAGGGTGTACAGGAGAATCAGTGCTAATTGGCCAATTATTTCATAAATATTTTATTAAATTATAAATAAAACTAACAGTTTAAATAGCTAACACTTATAGAGTACTTACTATGGGCCAGGTACTATTCTGAGAGTTTCCAGATATTGGTAAAACCTCACAACAACTTTCTAAGATAAGAACTATTACCCCATTTTACAGATGAAGAAACTGAGGGACAGATAGGTTAAGTAATTTTCCAAAGGTCATATATATGGTAAGTGGCAGAACCAGGACCCAAGCAGTTTAACTCTAGAGAGCTTCCTCCTAGCTCCTATGCTGTAATATCCCTCAATAAGACAATTTTGGAAAAGAAACACTCTTTCCTCCACAATTCCACTGCCTCTAAAACAAAATCTTCATGTTTTCATGTTTTGTTCAGGCTTCACCAACACACATATCTATTTTAACTAATCCATAATCAGTTCAGATACTGAGAAAGAGGAAGTCATTCCAAGCAAAAGATGGGTCTAATTTTGCTTTCCAAAAAGACGTGCATTTTTCTTTCTTCACTTACGAACATTTCCTGATTTATTCATATTCTTTTGCAATGATCATATTTTAATGGCTACATACAATTCTTTTGTTTAAAATGCCATATTTTGATTGGGAGGCAAGATGGCGATGGGTCTGGAGCGGGCGTTCCAGAGGACAGAGCGAGCCTGAGAAGTGTGCACTGTGCTGCCAGAGTACTATTTGCATTTC